CAATGATATTTTTGCAATATCACGGGATGATCTACAAAAATCAGCCAATTACAATGAAAGCCCGCTATGCTGGTGAGATGGCTTTTCATAATGATGCATTAATTGTAGCTATCATCAGGGCATCTCCGAATTTAAGATATTTAGAGATCGGCCATAATGATATTGGTGATGAAGTCACTGAAGCGCTGGCCCATACATGTCATAAATTAGAATATCTCGATCTAAGTCATCAATTTGTAATGTTATTCGTTCCTGCCCGAAACTCCAACATCTCAACCTTAGCTTTTGTGAAATTTCTAATGTAACTATTAAAGAAATTGCTCGTTCATGTCTCAGTTTAAAATTTCTAGATTTGGAAGAGTGCAAAAATATTAGCAAAAAAAACGTGGGTCAGCTAAATCCAAATATTCATATAGAAAATTTTGATAAAAATTACTACTGTTCCGATTCAGAGTCTTCTAGCTCTGAACCCGAATCAGAGTTCGAATCATCTAGTTCTGAATCAGAGGATGGAGTTATCTATTATAATAATATATCTCCTCCGATGATTATAGACTCATCTGATAGCCCGAATGATTTTATTAGCACATTTAGTGATTTTCTGTCTAGTGCTTTTCCTAGACATGGCGGCGGATCGCAAGACAGGTTTGATATTAATTCTGCAATCAATGAATAATTAATCCGTTGACTTTTTTTCCAGAAGGTTCTGGCATAATACACATATTACAAATCTTTGAATTAGTATTACGCAAGTCAACCCAATGTCCCTGATAATAGAATGAGACAAGAGTAGAAATTGCGCCTCTTAATCTACCGATTTACAGATCTGATGTTTGTAAAGCAAACGGCATGCCTCTGGCCTCATTCTACATAATAAAACAAATTTCCATTTATGGGTCGTTAGTGGCTTTGTATGGAGCACGAATGGGGGTTTAAAACAACGTGTAATTACGCAAATAAACGTGAGCGGTCTTCAAGATCTTGTGCGATCTTAGCAATAAACAGACCAAGCGACGTAATTTTTATTTCATCTAATTAAATCGGGTTAAATTCCATTTCAACGCGCAGTATATTATATTCGAAAAAGGGCTAGTGGTATTATGCAAAGCGCCTTCGGCTAAACCATTCACACAATCAAGAATATGGATTACAGTTAACATATGTATCCCCCGCTTATCGATGATCATACAATTGCTTATCAGAAAATTTGCGCCAATGCTCCTGATAATTTTATTCCTAGAATG